CAGAGTTGTGAGAGCCAAAGTTACACTTTAAGTTTTAATTATTATGCCTAAGAGATCATGAAACAAAAACCACCTCTGATCTGCAAGCCCCTTGCCCCAGGACAGATAGTTCTGAAATGTGGGAGGCTACTGTTTACAGAAGATAACAAGCCACAAATTCAGTCCCAAAACAAGTTGTTTGACCCATCTGCACCAGACTTGCTTGATTACAAGTGGGCGGGAGGCTCGCAGGCTGAAAATACTTCAGGATGTACACTTGGCCCTGATAGGACCTGATGGGAAATGCAATGACTTCTCAGTTTTCCTTCTTAAGCCCTTCCATACTTGATTCTGGGCCATTTCCCGGGGATCTGGGTATGGACCTGGCTGGAACCCATCCATCTGGCAAGTAATTAATGAAAGCTTGCTTCAAATTAGGCTTTAAACTGTGATAGTGGTCTTACTCTCGATCGGTAGGATTAACTGGTCTTCTCTGTGTAACAGCCCTGACTGTCCTGGAACTCGCTATGTAGAACAGACCAGCCTCGAACTCACAGAGATCCGTGTGCCTCTGCTATTGTGTGCTGGGATTAAAGGTGTGCTCCATGACTGGCTGGCTAAAGATAACTTTTGGATTAGGGAGATGGCTTAGTCAGTAAAGTGACTACCACATAATTATGAGGTAATCCCTAGAACCAAAATGAGAGGCACAGTAGTATATGCCTATAATCTCAGCTTTTGGGGAGTAAGGCAGGAGGACCCATTGGCTTGTTGAGCATCCAATCTAGCCAATTGGTGATCTCTGTGGTCAGTGAGAAACCCATTTCAAAAATAAGGTGGATAATGATCGAGAAACCCAATGCACCCACAAATAAACACAGAGACACAGAAAAAGAAACTTTTAAAAATGTGCTTCTGTTGAGCCCCCCAAGGTCCAAATGAGGAGCAGAAGGAGGAAGAACATGAAAAAGGAAATCAGGACCGCGAGGGGTGCGATCACCCACTGATACAAGGGGACTGATCTAATGAGAGTTCACCAAGGCCAGTTGGACTGGGACTGAATGAGCATGTGATCCAACCAGATTCTCTGAATGTGGCTGCATTCTCTGAATGTGGCTGGTCCGGAGTCTTTCTGAAAAGCCATTGACAATGACACTGGGACTTGTTTCCTCTGCATATACTGGATTTTTTGGGATCCAGTCTGTTTGGATACTCACCTTCCTGGACCTGGAGGGAGGGGGGAGAAACTTGAACTACCCACAGGGCAGGAAACCCTGAATGCTCTTAGGGATGGAGAGGGAGGAGGAGAGGGAGTGGGGGGAATGGGAGGGTGTTGGGAGGGGGGCGGAAATGGAAACTTTTATAATTTAATAAACTTTGAAAAAAAAAGAAAATTAAGAAAAATGAAAATTATTACAAATAACAAATATGTTGATAAATATAAAACAATATATTTTAATTGTCTTAATTTCTATAAAATACATATTAATGTTTAAAGTAAAAAAAAAACGTGCTTCTGTGGGCCTGGCAGTGGTGGTGTGTGCCTTTAATTCCAGCACTCTTGGGGGCAGAGGCACCAAGCAGATCTCTGTGAGTTCAAGGCCAGATTGATCTATAGAGTGAGTTCCAGGACAGCCGGGGCTATACACAGAAATCCTATCTTGAGAAATAAAGGGGAAAAAAAAGTGTTTCTGTGAAAGAGACAGATATTAGCCGGGCGGTGGTGGCACGTCTTTAATCCCAGCACTCGGGAGACAGAGGCAGGCGGATCTCTGTGAGTTTGAGACCAGCCTGGTCTATAAGAGCTAGTTCAAGGACAGGCTCCAAAGCTACAGAGAAACCCTGTCTTGAAAAACAAAACAAAATGAAAGAAAGAAAGAAAGAAAGAAAGAAAGAAAGAAAGAAAGAACCAAACAAACAAACATATCATTGACTTTATGCTCTATTGGCACCTTCTCAGTTGGGTTTTCCTTGTGCTTATTTAGTCAGGGAGACTTTGTTTAAATAATACTACTGCTTCCACTTTAGAGGGAAAGAAACTGAGGCATGGGAAATTACTTAAGTAACTGGCTTAAGTTACTGACACATTTTCCGGTACCCTACTGTCTGACTTTTTTTCCGCTCAACTCTTTCTTCCTCTATTTCCTCCTGCTTTTCCCTCTTTATCCTTCTCTCCCTCCTCTTTTCAAGGCTGTCAAGTACTTTTGTTTTGTTTTTCAAGACATGGTTTGTCTTTGTAACAGCCCTGGCTATCCTGGAACTTGTTCTATAGGCCAGGCTAGCCTTTAACTCAGAGATCCACCTGCCTCTGTGTCCTGAGTGCTGGAATTAAAGGAGTAAACCACCCCACCCTGCTTGTTTGTTTTTTAATGTTTCAGTCTAGGCTGACTTAGAAGTAATGGCAATCCTCTTGCCTTAGCTTCCTAAGAGTTGGGAAATCTGCCAGCGCTCTCTCTCTCTCTCTCTCTCTCTCTCTCTCTCTCTCTCTCTCTCTC